ATCATTCTGTGCTATCTGGGATCTGATTCTAAAATTTTAAATCCCATCTCTAAAATTCAGATTTTTTTCTCAGATTTCAGAGATTAAAGTCAGAATTCTGAGATTAGAATTAATGGATTCTGACTCTAGTTTCTGATTTAATCTGAGATTAAAGTCATAATTCTGGAGAAAACGGATCAGAACTCTGAGCTTGGAGTCAGATTTCATTCTTTTTTTCCAGCGGCCCGAATCATCTTCCATATTTTTCTGTTTGTTTATTTTTTGGAAGTTAAAATATTCTCTGTTCAAACAGAACCGGACTCGAAGAATCCTCACCGCCATGACCCAGAACGCCGTACGCCGACCCCTGACAGCCGCCGCCAGCGAGGTTCAGTCCGGCACCCATGAAGCCAAAACCATCTGCAGCGTCCAGAATCTGAGCCGCCGCCTGCTGATCCAAACCCGGTTCTGTCTGGACCGGTTCAGGACCCGGCGTGTATCTTGAGGGCGGGCGAACAGCGGCGCCGTACACCGTCAGGGAGCAGTCGCCGCTGCCAGAGGAGTGGTGGACCGACGGAGGGTAGAAACCGTCCTTGCTCAGGGCCGGATCGGCCAGGGACGGGTACCGGGCCAGATGGCACCCCAGAGGAGGATTATGGGTCTGAATTGCTGTCAGGCAGGGATTCTGGACCTGAGACCTAAAAAAAAAACACAGTAAAATTAATCCTGTTATTCTCAAAAATTAATCTGGCTAATACAATTCCCCACAGTAAAATTCAAGCACTTTCAAGGTGAGTTTCCAAACTTTTCCAGGGGATAAAAATATTGAAAAATAAAATAAAAAATGTTCTTGTTAAGATTTCTTGCATTTAGCACATAGACATAGTTTTATTAAATCTAAAGCAACAGAAGTTTGGTCTGATTTAACTTCATACAAAGAGAAAAAAATGTTTTTGTCTTTTATTAGGTGCAAATGTTCATGGGTTCATCTGCAAATAACTTTTGGCTTTTAATCCAACATTCGATTACATTTTACTACAAAGCTTTGAAAATGAATCAAGAAGTTTAAAAAACTTTACACAGAAATTAAGCACCTTCCAAACCTTGAATACTTGGCATAAGCCAGTTTAATCATTAAGTGCTATTCTCATTTTCACAAACTATAAACTATTCCTGAACAAAAACAAAAACAGAAAATGTAATGTTTCTATTTCCTATGACACTGGCTGCAACAAACAATTATTTTATTGACTATTCTGATGATTAATCAGATTAAAAATTGGTACTTTGAGCAGATTTTATATTTAAACACTTGAGCATTTTACTACAATATTAAAAATAATCAGACAATCAATTCCTTTTTGAAGAAAATAAACTTTTTATGGCCTACAATGCAAACAGCATTCCTTTAGTGAACGCTTTATCATTTGTAGCAGAGATTAATCTGCAGCTAAAAGTATAATTTTAACACCAACATGTAAAAAAAACGAACTTTTTCTGCTTAACAATATACAATGTAAACTGATGAACTGATTTTTTCATTATTATTATTATTAACCAATCAATGACTCAATAGCAAAAGGTGCTACGAACTTTTTTTTTTTACTAAAATAGTTAAAACTATGCTATTTGAGGAGTTTTGAATAAAACATATTTCCAATTTTTTTTATCTTAAATGCAAAATTTATACTTAAATGTGTTGACATAATTTCAGCTTTTTTAATATATAGGCTTTTTTGAGTCAATTAATCAATTACTAAATTAGTTGACGATTATTTCAATAATTGATTATCAGGATTAATCCAAAAAATCATTTCAAGCCTACTGATTTACAATACTTAAGTTTAAAATAACAACCAAAGCAGACAATTATTGGGCTTAATAACATTATTTTGTTTAGTAATTCCTACATTAATGTAATTATTCTATATATACTGTATTTGGTGGGTGTGAAAGTCAGTATATCTAATCATTACATATTAGCATAAGCCTCATAAAGCTAACCTGGGAGCAGTTTGGTAGTTCTGAGCCGTGGGCCCGCTGCCGGCGGCGGGAAAAAACCCGCCGGTCTGCGGCAAACAGTGGTACAGGGTCTCCGGGTACGAGGAGCAGGGGCTGGGCTGCGTGATTTCACTGAGAGAGGAGAGGCAGGAGGATGAGGAGAAGGAGCAGGACGAGGAAGAGGGCGTCAGGGGCCTCCCCGCCATGGGCCCCTGGTTGATGACGGAGCCCCGGTGGACCAGCGCGGCCGGGGAGATGGGCGGAGTCATGAGGGGTCCGCTGACCTGAGAGAAGTCCATCTGACCGCCTGATGGGAATCACGACAATATTCAGACATTTTGCTTTCATGCTTAAACTGATAGGCGGTTATAATGGTTACCTGAAGACGTGAAGCCGGAACCATCGTTCCCCTGATAGAGGACGGCTTTAGCTTCCAGATCCAGCTGCTGATTGGTCGACAGAGGCATGTAGGCGTGTCCTCCCAAGGATTCGTTCTTCACTGATTGGTCGACGGAGGCGGGGGTCTTGTTGCGGTTCGCCAGAAAACAGGAACTGGGCGATGCCATGAACGCAGCTTTACTGGCATCTGAAGGAGACGACAAACTTACATTTCAGATAATTATCCTCATTTAGTGCTGCTGGAGGAGTTCAGGAGGGAACAGTTTTTAACGATGTTTTCAAAGTTGCAACATTTGTTACACCTTCAGCTGCTGTGGTTCGCTTTCACACGGCACAGTGTCAAACAAGCTAAATAAAAAATAAAACATGTTCTCCTCTTCGCCTGTGGGGGCGCTGCAACATAAACCACTGAATAAATTTACACAAAACCCACTGAAGACACCGAGTGCAAAAAATACTTGGTAAGATTTTGTGTTTGTTTTGCATTCAAGCCTCTTTAACCAAATTTTGTAGGTGAACGAACTGGGCTGGTTTGATTTGGGTCCAGTGAGACCAGAGTTGGGTAGTTACTACTTACATTGCTCAATTACATTTACTTGAGTAATGTTTTTGAAAAAAATGTACTTTAGGAGTATTTTTAATGCGCTGTACTTTGAGTAATATTATTATGAAGTATTTCTACTCTTACCTGAGTCAAATTTCTGGATGTTCTGCCCAGTGAATGAATAACAAAAATTCAACACAGGCCTGCAGATTTTGCTAAAGTTTCATAAGTTTTTTATTGAAAGAAACTGATTTAGAAAAAGTTATTTTGTTACTTTTATGAATTATTGACATTTTTGTCATTAAAATACCTAAATTTGCTTTATAATTTGATCCATTTTATGTCATTTTTAAATATTAAATGATTGATAATTTCATCAGTTACTAAGAACTTGAGTAGACTTTTAACCAAATACTTTTGTACTTCAATTTCATGGATGGCTGCTGAAGTAAAAGTAGTTCTACTCTATCTTGAGTCCAGTTTTTGGGTTTTCTGCCCACCTCTGAGTGAGACCCAATACCTGCATTTTTCATGTATTTTTCCAGAAGGTTCTGCAAGTCCTGCTCCTTGTCGTTGTTGAACTGCGTCTCCAGCGCCAACAGGATGTACTCGTCTAACAGCATCCGGATCAGGTGGAAGGAACCTGTCAGCATCAGAACAGAAAGCGGCTCAGACGTTCTTCCAGCTGAAATTTCACTCGACCTTTAGAGCCCCACTGCTCTTTGTTTGACCTGCAGGGCCACACGTTTGTGTTTGAGCTTAAGTGGACCTTCAGAGAGAGCGAGAGCCACCAAATGGTGGTTGTTTATTCATGCACACGTAGCCTGTGTGCGTGTGTTTGAACAGAGAGCACGCTGACCGCAGATAAGACGCTGTGTAATCAAAGCGAGTCTGGCCATTACGATTTATGATGCTATTGTAGCAATCTGCTTTGAGCTGGCTCGTATCGGACGGGCAGGCGTCTTTTAGTGGGAAGATCTGAAAATCTTCATCTCCACTGCAGAGACACTAAACCTTAAAAAGTATTTCTGGTTGGTCTAGTTTCCAGTGCAAATATTTTAGTACACTGAAATAAAACAAAACTTACTTACAATTAACTTTTCAGCAAGAAATGGGAGCTTGTTTTAAGTCAGTAATTCCTTAATATTGATGAAAAGTTCCAGTTCCATTGGCAGATTATTTCACTCATGACAAGACATTTTTCCCATATAATAAATGAAATTATTTGCCAATGGAACCAGAACTTTTTCATCAATATTAAGGAATTATTGACTCAAAACAATCATTAATATTGGTGAAAAGGTGCTAGGCCCATTGGCAGATAATTTCACTTATAATAATTATTTTGAGTAAGTAAACAATTTATTTATTTGTTTACATAAATAATAACATTATAATAGAACAAGGTCATATATCTTGCTGAAAAGTTATATGTAAGTTAGTTTTGTCTTATTTCAAATGCGCTAATTTATTTGCATTAGAAACTAAAACCAAAAAAATTTCTTAAGATTTTGTGTTTTTGCAACTTGAACCAAGATTTGGATCCAGTTCTACGGCTGGACGACATGGATTAAAAATAAAATCTCCAGATCTGATTTTAATCTCTTTTTTTTTCCAAAAAAAGGAAATTAAAAATGATAGAAAATATTTCCAAAAGTGGATTTTATAATCCCTTCTGTAAATTGTAGAGTTGTGCTGCTTTAACACATTAACACCAAAGTTATAAATGTTATAAATGCCATAAAGCATAAGCTGGAATCAACTCTTTCCACTTCCTTACCGAAGCTGGAGGCGTTGTTGAGCGTGAGGTTGTGCATGATCCGGGCACCAAAGAAGCTCCACCGCAGGAGGAAGTCCTGAGCTCGCTTCTTCACGGATCGACCGCACTGCTTGCCAGGCTGGTGAAAACATGAAGAAACGATTTAAAAAGCTGCTTATCTGCTGTTTGCTTCAGTGATGGCTGAACTGTCTCTACCTTGATGACTTTGTGCTCCACCACCGAGTCCAGCCACTCTATGAACGACTCAACTGTGGCATTTTTCCTCAGCAGCTCCTTCAGTTCCTGAAAAACACTGATGGAGTCGTCTGGGGGGAAAAAAAGAGAAAAATGCAAAAAGAAAATGTAAAATTGCAGCCAACTTGGGTAGGTTTTGTCACTAAATATGGAAAAATTATTTCCAGTTTAATTCTATGAATTAACAAGCATCGAAAGGTGTAAATATTTATATCCAGAGTTTCACCGACAACCTAAATACTGGTCTTTAGAATGTGTAAAAAAATGTAGGATGAACTTTGTACAATCTGGACAAACCCAACAAGGCACTTCATTAAACAGTCAACAATTTGCATGAACTATTTTCATGATTTCTTGTTTCTTTAATTCATGAAATGTGCAGAAAAACGATTAAATTTAGAAAAATTAAGTATGAAAACCTAATGTAAAAAAGAAAAAAATAATTTATTTACCCACTTTTTAATTTTAAATTTGATATTTTTTCATCATTTACTCATTTGTCTGGATGAATTATTTTGTAATTTTTTCACATAATTGATTATTTATTTAAATGTATAATTTATTTCTTCAATCCTTTTTCCAACATTTATTCATTTATTTTTACATTTAGTCATATGTCATTTACTTATTTATGCATTTATTTAGTATTTTTTTACAATAATTTTGTTCTGTCATTTAGTTTTAAACAATCAAAGGGTCAAAGGTTACCAGGTTAATAATCTATTTATCCGATTTGTTTTTCACTTTTTTACTTTAACACTTCTTCTTTCTTTGCTCTATTAATTTGTCTAATATTTTTAAGAATTGTATGATTGATTTGTGTATTTATTTGTCTGTTGCATTATTACATGTTTAGAAATGCTACAAAACAATGTTTTTCTTTTAAAGTCCTCATTCTGGCTTTGATATGTATTTATTTATTTAACATTTTTATCGAACCTCTAATTTAACTTAGAAATATTGAGGTTTGAAGATTTATATTTTTTTAAAAAACGAAACATTTAGTTGCTAACATTTATGCTAAGCTAACAAACAGCATCAACCCTGATGATGAACCCTGATCATAACCGAACATCATCACAGGAGCTGGTTTTCTTACACTCAGAGTAAATATCCGAGTCCTGGTCTCCGGCTGCCGACGTGCTGAGCAGCGGCTGTGAGTTGATGCTGCTGAGGTCCACGCAGTCGATGTCCAGAACCATGCCGGTCACCACAGTTTGGTCGAAAAGAGCCGGCCGGGCAATCTGGACAGCGCAGACAGAATAGGAATCATTCCCAGGTCCATTCCCAGACAACCAGTTGGTTTCTCGCCTGTTTTACCTGCGCCAGATGCAGGAAAGATGTCTGCCTCTTCAGGGAGGAGACGAAGCGCCGTGCGATGGGGAGCTTCTTCGCTGCAAGGCATTCTGGGAGGTTTTCCAGAGACGAGGCCAACCAGTGTTCCCAGTGTTTGGCAAAGTTTCTTATGTCTGCCAATAAACTGAGAAACAAAAACAGGTTCACCTCTAAATTATGCGAAGTTTTCTGGAGTAAAGTTTTAGAAACGCACCTCTCAGGCATTTCCTGCATGGTGGCCGGAATTAAAACGTCAGTTAGCACCTGAGAAAACAGACGACAAATCATGAACAACACGGAATCAGACAGAGGAGAATAAATTATAATTTCTTAACTGTTTTTCCCCTTGAAACAACATCAAATAATGGTTTGACTTTTCTACATTTCAGTTGGTGTGGAAGAGCCTCAGGCTCAGTGCAAAAACAGAAAAAGAATCCTGACTGAAAATCCTGAAGAATCTTTTTTCCCTCTCAGAATCAAATTCAAAAGTACTTTATTAATCCCAAAGGGAAATTAAATGTTCTTCTAACTCTGTTAATCTGACTTTAATCTTAACACTTAAAAAAAATCATGGATTATCTAAACATTGTGACTGTTTTCCTCAAAATTCTGATTTTAATCTCAAAGTCAAACATTTTGTCTCAGAATTCTGGCTATTTTCCAAAAATGTGTGTATTTTTCATTAACATTGTGGCATTTGTCTCAGAATTTAAATTTTAATTTCAATTTCTGACTTTTTTTCACAGCATCTGAGTCTAATCTTGAAACACTTTCAAAAAATTTTGTGGATTTATTCAAAACATCGCGATTTTATTCTCAAATTCTGACTTTAATCCCTAAATCAGAAATTTTGTCTCAGAATTGTGATTCTAATCTCAAAATTCTGTCTGTTTTCCAAAAACTGCTGGGGGTTTTTTCTAAACAGAGTGGTGTTTCTCTCCAAATTCAGATTTATACTTTAATCTCAAAATAAAACTTTTTTTCTCAGAATTCTGACTTTTTACAAAAACTCAGAATTCTGAAAAAAAAAAAAAAACAGTAAAATTTGAGATTAAAGTCAGATTTATTTTCATTGGCTCTTCTGTTCTCCCATAAGTAGTAGATTCTACTGTTCTAATGTTAATTAAGTGCAGGGCTCTAAGTCGAAGCTGGTAGGACAGAGTTTCATGTTCATGTAAAGTTCGTGACATTAACGCTGTAAAGCAACGTTAGTAGTATCAAATCAGAAAAAGCTGCAGTCTCCCAAACATGGTGGATCATCTTGGTTCTCTCTCAGACCATCAAAGCAGTTAAATGCTCCTGTGAAGAATTTCTGTATAAAACGAATAATGATATTTAAACATAAAAAAGCAAAAATGTAAATCTGCAGAAGTGTTTTATAGAAACCTTGTAGAGGATGGAGTCACAGACACAGAAGATGTCGACTATAATCGGGTTTTCCAGCAGCGGCAGCAGATGGTCGGGCATTCCCTGCCAGAAGTGGAGCAGGAAATTCTGGATCTGAGCAAAAACAAAACAAAGTGATCAATTTGTGTCAGTACTTTATCAGGAAAAAGTGCTGATACATAACAGATAATGACCTCTTCAAAGTTGATATTGATGGCGTTATCCAGGATGCACTGGCAGTGAGTTTTATACATCATGATCAGAGTGTCAACCTGGAATAGAGAGAAAATTCAGTCTTCTTAAATCTAGAAACATCTTTTGTTTGTTTACTAAAGTACAAAGCATGAAATAAAAACCAGTGACCTTTTCTCTGGAAATATTTCCCTGCAGCACGAGATGCTGGGCGTTGGGGAAGTCCGGAAGCAGCGTTCCGGTTTTAGAGCTCAGAGAGTATTTCCTGGTGAAGCCACCCTGCAAAACAAACACTACTTCACTTTTTACTCTTTATTTAAATCCGTTTGGGAAAAAATACTATCGTGGCAACAAAAAATACTGAAATCATGTTTTGAAATCACAAATCATCAACCATGGAAGAATCTATTCAGTGTATCTATCATTGTGTATCAAAATCCTGCTGAATGTTAGAGTTTTTTAACTTTGTCATCACAGCAGCGAATAAGAGTAACCCTATTTGAAAAACATAAGGTTGACTCCCAAATAATTCATACCCTTGGCAGATTTTAAATTAAAATGATAAAAAACGTAACTAAGAAGTTTGCTTCTGATTAGAAGTGAGGCAAACATCTTCCAAACGTCTACATCTGGAACAGAATGTAACCGGAGAAGGCATTCTGGAAAAAAAGAAGCAATTTATCTATTTTTATTTATATTTTAATTTTAAAAATGGATGTTAAATATAGCACATGAAAATGGCTGCAAACAGAAGCACAGTTATACAACCATGCAGCCTTGACAACCAGAAGTGGAGCCTCCTGCACAACCAACAAGAATTCAGCAAGTGGTTTCTGGACGGTAAGTCAATAACAAAACACTTGTCTTTTCCAGTAGCCATTGTACAGCGCATACAGCAGTAAAACCAGCTGACCAGATGTGCTGGAACTCAGCTAGTGTTGCTAGGTAACGGGCTGGGCTCAGGTTGCTAGGTAACAACGCAGTGTGACTCAACAAACAGGAGGTTTTCGAAACACATTAACTTAATATAAAAAAAACATCTGGATGTTTTTTTTAGAAGTACAAAAACGTGAAAAAAGTGAATTTTGCGTAATATATCTCCTTTAATCTTCCCAATAAAGTTAACTTCCTGAGGGTGTTTCAGGTGTTGGAGACCTCAGCATTTAAGCTGGTGTCAAAAGAAGAACAAACTGATCCAGTTTTTATTTTTTAAACTAAACTAAGGCATAGTTCCTATACTTTAACCCTATTTAGGGTTAAAGTATGAAAACCTGCTTTGCATTGTGGGGGGGAAAAAGTACCTCATTCTTGAGCTTACTTCCTGAAAATCTGCAAGCAAAACAAAACAAGAGATAAATCCAACAAAACTCTTTAGCTGTTCAAATCATTTTATTATGTAGTTAAATTAAAAGCAGAAGGTTTGAAATAAACTCACCTGGTCAAACCTTTACCTGAATACACAGAGTGATAATATGCGCTGCTCTCTTTGATCCCAATTCCATAGTAATGATATCTGGAAAATGTTAAAATTATGCATAAATTCACATAAAACCCAACCTGTAATTACTTTTTTTCTAATTTTTCTTTTTACTTGGAGTGTCCTCTGGTGCCGAGTCGTCTTGTTGTCAGAAGAGGAAACTTTTGTCGGATTGTCTGATGAGCAGAAAAGGCATAAAATAAGCTTCATACTATTTATTTGAAATGCATGCATCATTTTCATTCACCAAAGGCAAATGGAGAAAGAAAATAATTTTAAATTTAAGGTTTTATATCTCAAGAATAATTCTTATAGGTCAGTAAAACCACAAATAAAACAAACATGCATTAAAAAACTAGTCAACATGCTAAAAGTATAGCTGATTATTCAGTTGGACCATTTCAAAGGAAGAAATATTCCTGCAAAACAAAATAAAACCTGCTTCACCTTCCTTCTATCTGGTTATTTGTGTCTGAAAATTTAAAGAATCTCACAGGAAAAAAATAAAGTCACCTTTCCAAATGTAGCAGCACATGCGGGTTCTAGTTTCTCTTTCCTGCAGAAGTCCAGATAATGAGCATAAAGGATGCAACGAGGCAGACACACTCCTTCACACACGATGTAGTTCTCCTCAAGCCTGCAGAGAAAAACAAAAGATAAAATATTGTGTTAGAGATGCAAGAAGATTTAAAAATAGCACCAAGAAAAAATGACTTCAGTAACAGAACAAATTGTTATTTTTGTTTTCCCTGATTGACGCCTAAATATTTAACATGACACCCATACATAGTTATTACAATGGTGGATTAGGGATACTCCAGATAGAAAAGAAACAAAAGGAAAAACTGTCTGCCAAAAAAATTCAAGAAAAAAGTTGAAAATTTGCTAGAAAAAAAATCTGAAATTTTAAGATTGATCTCAGAAATTTTTTTAAAAACTTAGAAATTTCTGAGTTTGAAAAGTTGAAAATTTGCTAAAAAAACAAACAAACAAACAAACAAAACAACAACAACAACAACAACAAAAAACCTCAAATTTTGAGATTAACCTAAGTAATATTCTAAAAAAAAGACATGGAAGATTCAATTGACGAAAATTTGCTAGAATCATTGGAAATTTACAAAAGTCAAAATTTCCAAATTTTTTTGTCAAAAATGTATGAGATTAAAATCTTAGGTTTTATCTTGCAAATTTTCAACTTTGCAAACTGATCATTTTCTTTCTGAATTCCATTTTGTTCTATTTTATCCACATTTGTTATATAAAAAACACATACCGTATTTTCCGCACTATAAGACGCACCTAAAAACCTTCAATTTCCTCAAAAGCCGACAGTGCGCCTTA